CTTTCTCTCCTCCCCCTGACAGTTTAGCAGAGCACAGCAGACAGTCTGCTTGTTTGGTGTCCTCCGTGCCGATCTTAAAATATCTCCAAACTGCCGACAAGTTGCTTCTTCTTCTTCTACCGTCATTGTTCTTCTTCTGTTATTCGGGGGTGCGGTCGGAAATAACTTGTCAGTGCGTTAGCGCCCCCGCCTGGTATGGATTGTTGTTTACCCTTTGTGCTGCAGCGCAGCACAGGACGGGACGAAAGCAGTATCGGTTAAGAGTATCAGCCGGCTTTTACGAGTACGAGTATGAGTACTTGATGCTGGTATCGGACTGGCATCGGTATGCTGGTATACCGATACCAGTATCGGTATCGGGACACCCCTAGTCAGAACTGCAAAAACCTCAAGAAAACAGGCCTCAGTCTTACATAGAGCACTGTTTTAGCCACAGACAGAACCAACAAGAAGGAAGCAAAAAGTAAAGAATCAGAGAAAAATCATAAATTCTAATTATAATAATAACTTAATAATAATTTTAATCTAAAAATCATATTTTATTCTTTTCAACTGTTTTCCTCATTCAGCAACCTATTAAATTTTTGTTTTATGTTTTATCACTATTAATGTATGAGAAATCCACTTTTTTCAGTCAGTATTTAATACAGCTGGCAAAATAAATTGTTAAAATATTTATGTGCTTCTTTTTTAATGCAGCATGTTTTTAAAAGACCCTCATGTTATGAAAATACCCTTTTGATTCAAGAGAAAACTCTGTTTTTTAAGAAAATGGCTGCTTATCAATTAATCTTTAGTCAATCAATAAGTTAAATCGACTTTAGATTATTTAATTAATCGATAACTTGTATCCATAATTTATACAGGACTTAAATTAATCTATATCTACTCATATTTATGTAATTAAGTGTTTTAATGATTTGGCTGATTCATCGATTAATTGAAAAAATAWTCGACAGATTAATCGATTATTAAAACAACCATTAGTTGCAGCCCTACTGTCCATTACGCTCTTCTTTAACAGGGTTTTTAAGGGTTTCTGTATATTTTAAAAAGCAATAGGAGTTTCTAAGCATTTGTCACAATCATTTTGGGGGTCAGAAGCTGTGTTAAAGGATAAGTAAAGCTTGTTTGGAAAGCTTGAAAGACAGAATACTTTACCTATCTCCTGGTGAGTGTAGGGAGGAAAGTCTTCAGTTTCRAATGACATTTCCTCCAGCTGCATTAATGACTCAAAGTCCTTCACTAAAATTCTTCCCAGCTCGTTGTAAAACTTGCACCTCACTTGCTCTTGTCCTTTCAGACTACAATAAAGACAGGAAAAGAGCAGATAGATAAATAAATAAATAAATACGGTGATGAGTTCCCACAGGTTCCCGTCATCGGCTCTAACGCCAGCGACACATACTTGTTTTGGTAGCACTGCCTGAAGCTGGACTTGAGTCTCTTCAGCCTCGTCTGGCACTGCTCGGGTGTCCGGGAGAAGCCCAGGGAGGCCAGCTGGCTGGAGATGGTGGTGAAAATGTGTGCGGTTCTGTTCACTCCTCTCAGGTCCAGCTGCATTTTGTCGGCGCCCCAAATGTTGATGAGGGCCAGAGTCTCCAAGTCTGTCCATGGCATACTTCTTGTTCCTTAAACAGAAAATATTAACCACAGGATTTAATCRGGTTTAATCAGCAGGAATCTTTCATTCGAATCAAGGAAAAATAAACCGGTACAATCTTTTTAACACRAACCTATTTCTGGTTGGCCAGTCTGGCCGACAAACTGCAAGTCCTCGTCGCCGTCCTGGGAMTCGTCTTCGTCGACGGCTTCCTCCACGTCGTAGCTTACGTCAGGAGCCGTGGATGGAGCTGAGGAGCTCAGAATCTGCTCCAGCTTGGAATAAAATTTATGATCTTGCCTGGAGTTGCCCCTAGTGGTGAATCATAAAACAAACGGCATTTTTAATCCAGATTACTCAGATTTTCTTCAGAATTAAAAAAAAGGAAAAGAAAAAGAAGCGTCACCTGCTGCTCCTGCGGAAGCATTTCTTCAGTCGTTTGATCCTAGTCTGGCACTGCTCCACGGTCCTCATGTGGCCCCTCTCRGCCATCTTCTGCGCGATCTGAGTGAAAATGTGCCGGTTCTTCAAGCAGCCCTTCAGCGCCTGCTGCACCGAGTCCTTCCCCCAGATGTCGAGCAGCTGGAGCGTCTCTTCATCTGACCAGGGAACCTTCGAGTCCATGGCGACCGGGAAGGCGCGTTCCTGAGTGTCTGCGATTAGACGGGAAGCGTTGGTGGAAATAAACGTGACAGAAAAAAAAAAAGGAACTGAGCCACAAACCTGTATATTCTCCCCATATGGAGATTAGAGGAGATTCACTTGAATTTTCACCATCTGCTGACGAATCCCTGCAAAGATTAACAATTAAATTATTATAATCAGATTTATTGACATTTTTCTGTTTGCTAAGTTAAGGTTGGGCAACTGGACGAGTTTATCGACGATGGGCAGAACGCTTCAAGAGTCGTTTCTTTTTCTTTCTTTGGCTTACGAGTTTGTTTAATTAATAAAAAACACTTGGTTGAAGCCAAAAGACGCAGCCCGTGGG